CCTCTGACATTCTCACACATGAGATATGAACTGCTCACCCCTTTTGTGTTAAATCCTGGTGCTCTTGTTTGAAGGGTCAGTTCGTGTGTGTGGTATACGCGCAGATGAGGTCATTAGGTAATTTAGCTACTGCGTCCGGTCCTCGCATCAGTCAACTGACCGGCTCTGACAATGGCTACCGCTTGGGAATGGGAATAGAGATTGAGTTAGACGGCCTCACTATGAACAATCTGACGCGTTTGAAAGTGTCATGGTGCGCTAAAATTCCGGGATTAGATGTTTGCCAACTGACGGGATAACTTGAACCGCGCAGTCAGCTCAGTGTGTTTGTGCGGAGTGGTTGGCTAGCATACTGGGAGTCAGGTTGCAATGACTCCTTAATGTGACCGTTATGGCACTCCCACTCAACTGGGATCCGAGCCGCCCCCCACTTTGCGGTGGTTTTTTGATTCTGCACGGCCCTGCACCCTCTCTTATCTCCAGTTTTCTTGATTCTGTCTTGATACTGTGCCCAGGCGGGGACGCGGAACAAGGAGTGAGGTAGATGCATGCCAAGTCTTCTCTCATTGTAATTTAGCGCAAGCCACCGCCCCTGCCCTATCATCTGTGAAGACACGGTAGACCTCGTCGAAAATGACGGTCGTATGCCTTTCTGGCTGTCAGTTTTACTCTTCACACCTTTCTCCAATTGTCTTCATGAAGTGTTCTTCGCCAGGTAAGTTGTAGTAAATTCGACCTAGAATTCCATACAGAGTAGGACAAAAGTGGTCGTCGTCAACGTCTTTGAAGGGTTGCAGGTCTTAGTCTGTTTTGATTTTGGTTCTGATGCTCGCTACTCGACAATGTGTTTGCAAAATATCTCCCAGAAAACCAGGGCACGTCTTGATGTTCTTTTTTTCATTAGAATAATCCATGTCTTGCTAACCTTTTTCGAATATAGTTGCAAGAACTACCTATAGCGACTAAAAATTGATGTACTGGTCAAGTTTAAATCCATTTTGTTATACCTCCGTAGGAAATGCAGCAAATTAAGTTAGCACAGCGACTACACGTTAAGGGCGTGGTTAGCTTTTCTAAGTTACTTTTCGGGGAATTTTACCTGAAGGAGGGAGGTCAAATTATACCGTCCGAATCCCCTTCTTTCCGTCCATACACGTCCGATTTATATGTCATTCCATATTGTAATGAGCGATGAAAATCCTTTGTCTTCAAAAGTTTCTAAGTAATTATTCATGCCTGGAGCATCTGTAGGTATGGTGCCTCCTACCTATGATTTTAATGCTGGAGACAGTGAACATATTTGCGAAACGTTCGTTTTTTTATGGGAATGCACCTGCCTCGATGATGGTCTCCCTGTGGAGCATACTTAGCGGCGAACTTAAAGGTGCCAAAATGTGTGCCCTCCGTTTTGTTCTTACATTAACTCGACATACTCGGTTGCAATACTGGTATAAAGTATGCCCCCCTTTTTACGGCTGCATACAGATATATTAATCACATAATTAGTTACTTGCTACAACTAGTGTTAATTTCTATTTTGTCTGCTTTTATTAGAATACTGTCAAAATTGGAACCTGTTCGGTGAACCCACCATTACTGAAAAGGTTCTATTTTGTTTTTCAGTCCTTTCGTCTTTTACTTTTTTTCGGTGTACTCTATAAGTCGATTGGAACAACTAAGTTATTGAAGTTTCACTGCCGAAAATCTCCTTCTCATCCCATTTTTTTTCAGTCAGTCTTTAATCACCTTTCCTTGTCACTTGTAGGCAAGAAGAGCAATGCTACTAATTTATCTTGCACATGCTATAAAGCGGGAGATCCCTCCAAATATTCTTATTAGTTCTGCCCCCCCAAAAAAAAGAGTAATAACTGACCGCGTGACAACTTCTGGCTGGCGCGGCTTTGAGCAAGTTTTATTGATCCGGAAAAAGTATTCAGGTGTGAGGTTTGCGAAATTAAAACCGCGATCGGTTGGGCGTCTACTCTACTAGATTTCTTTTAGAATACATTGAGAACGATTGTTCAGCTCTTGTTAAACTTGAACCGGTAATCGCCAAGCTTGGCGGAGATATGTTAACTACTGTAGTTTATATTTGTCCAGTTTCTGAGTTAGGTAGTAGACGGACAATCAACCACCAATCTAGGCGGGCGCAAGTCCTTCATTCGAGAATGAGTTCATCCCGATCCATTTGCATGCCGAAGCAAGCAAGCTGTCTTCTCTCCCCCCCCCCACTGCTACATATTCTTCACTGTGCCCTCCTGTCTTGATCTAGGTCACTCAGGTTATCAATCCAGGGGTAACAACGACAGCATTTCATGACGAGAAGTCGTTAGAAACTGAGGCATTTTTGAAAACGTGCAAAGGTAAAAAGTTAGGCCCGCAATAAAAAGTCTGGAAGATTATCTTTGTTTAGCCACTGTAAGAGAAACAAACTGCGGCCGATGAGACTACATACCTTGGGAAAATGTCAATGTACCACGACCGGAACACCGATAGTAAAAGATTGCGCGTTTAGGATGGGCTGCAAATTGTGTTCACAATCCCAAGGGCAGAATTTCAAAGCAGGCGGCGGACTACGCATTTTAAATTAAATCTCTGCTGGATGCGGCAGCAGTCTCCAATGATCTGTGGGCCAGAGATTTGGTGTTCTCTAACTGGCAAGGAATTGGATTCCTGGCATGAAAATAGTCTCCAGCTCATCTTAGCCTCAACATAGCTCCTCACCGAACACCAACAGTTCTGTCATCTTTCGCAACACCGTCAAGTCCGCCGTTGACAGTTACTGCACCGCGAGTGCAGTGAGTGGCCTACCTTATGACATGTTAACCGAAATCCTGAAATGTGTTTAGGACCATGAAGGTTTACTTTGCTTTTATTGTAATTTTTCTTACCATACAGCCTACTCTGAAGATATTTCAGCCATGTCTGAATGCCAGCTTTTAAGTGAGCTCCTTTTCGACCGCCACTAAAAATTGTACTACAGAAAACGACTAGTGGAACAGTATGCTTATTTTCCGTTGATTCGTGGTGCCCTTAAAAATCCATGTATTTGGTAGAAAATATACCCAAAATGCCCTTTCTTACACCTATTCGATAGTATTAATATTGTAAACTCATCTCCCATAAGCCAGAAATTAAAATTCGTTTACTTCAATGCACAGAGCATGTTATCCAAGTTCGGCGAGCTGAAGATCTTCCTCTGTCCAGAAGTAGCCTCTTTAACCGAAGCCTGTTTGTTGTAACACATGGACGACCGGGAATTAACTATGCCTGGCTTTCGATGATTTAGAAGAAACACGGAGGAGGCGTACTCATGTATGCGATATATGGACTAATAGTATGAGGCAAGCTGTATTTTATCTATGTAAGGAGTTTTCCATATAAACTTTTATTCGGTAAATATTGATTTCGCATTATAAGTGAGTTCTCCTGCTACTTATTGGACACCTTCGTTGCTACTTATTCAGCGATAAACTCTTCGATTACGAAATTCAAGAATGTTACTATATGACCGCCTACTTTCCTCTTGTTTGATATGCTTTTAAACTGCCTTCCCACTACTTTCGCCCCCTCGAAAGGACAAACCCGAATGTGATCGTCTTGTGAAGGATCACGTGGGCGCCGCAGAGGCTAACCAAGAACGCCTGCGAGCAGATCCCTTGGAGGTAGTGCTGCGGCACATTGGCTATGGAATACCCCGACAGCGTGAAGGCGACAGGGATGCTGGGCCCACACGGGCAACAGGTGGTGAGTCGTCCGGAGAGGCCAGCAGCGACGCCAGCTCGGACAGCCGCTACTCCTCC